AGTGATGGCAGCAAAGAAACACCACTTTGAGTAGAGGCTCTGGTGTGGAATGTCCTGTGGGTTTCACGACAACACGGGCGGAGAGAGTGTGGTTCATGCGGCTATTGTTGTCCGCACAAGGCCCACTTAGTGTAAAAGAGGCCGGGGCAGGCTAAGCGGGCCAGGGGCGCCGAGCAGCAAGGGCGAGCAGCTGATCGGAGACAGATTACAGGTAAGGAAGAGAAATTACAACCAGGTACAATGGACATTAGAGTACACTTAGTTATCCTTGAATGCAAGTATAGCATTTAAGATATGGAGGACAATTCACCTTTTCAGAATATTATATCTATACACAATGTTTAGAACTTCTAGAAACAAACAGCAAAACACACATGCAAGTGTTTTGGCCTGCTTCAAACAGTATCAAGTTTGTCATGGTAAATCACTATATATGGTTTCCTGCTACTCGTTACACTCACATGTGTTGTCTCTATTTTCTGTTTTGGCAGCCAATTGAGAAATCTGTCTTATTTCCAGTCAAATCAAACATTCTGGGGTGACTCAGGACCAATTTAACTCCAAACTCCAAGTCAAATATTGTTCAACAATGTCTATACCCTTTTGCTATATACCATTACAAACAAGAGACATTTTGGAGTCTGATCTTTCTGTGCCAATCTTGTTTTATTTTTAGTTATTTTAGGAATATTAACAAACAATTATGCCATCTATAGAATCTTCGTGAGCAGGTCTGATGTTAAGAGGTAAAGTCCAGCTGAGGTTTGGACTGATCACAGAGACAGGTCAGAGATGTTTCATTATAGATGAAAGGACTAGTAACAGTATAACTTGTCACCTGACCGACATGAATCTAATCTTAGCCCAAACGCTTTGAAATTTGATTAAAAATGGACAAAACACACTGAACTTCACAGAAAACAATTATTATTTCTTATCCTTGCAGCCAAACCATTAAACAGCCAGTGAAAACATAACCCAGCCAATCAGAGACCATTCACATCTGCGTCTAGTTGAAGCCTGATAAAACAGTTCTTCCAGTCAGAAATGAGACAACGCTGCTGTTTCTCCGCTGCCCCTCACTCAACACCGTCTATCCGTCCATTGCACACTTGGCCGGACCTAAAAGGCTTCAAATGGAAATGTCCTTCTCAACTACACACAGCAGTGAACAAGTGTAGTGAAATATTAAGACGTGGGGAGCCAAGCAGGCGTAGTGGCGGGAGATTTTGGTTACTGATTGGAGTTTAGTGTGGAAGGGATGGGGAGCCAGGATGGAGGTGCACGGCTGGGGCAAAGGGACACTAGTATCCATTGTTGGGTCCATGACAGCTCTGATGCCAGGAGCTGTCCTTTATTTATGAGCTCGTTGACAAATGCAAGCTCAACCACCCAGCTTCCTGATCTTCTCTTTTACACCCACCATGACAACAGCAGCTCCACATCAAAAACAAAACCACCAAGTCGGCGCTTTGAAACAATTCACAAGATTTATGACGCCAAGTGTAAAAGCTGGGGTATCCAACTTTTAAGTTTTAAGTTTAACTGATAGAATCCATCCTCGCTGACAAAACTGTTTGGTTCTATAGCTTTTACATGCATGTATCTTTTTGACATTTTTTGTTTCTTAAATTTTAGATAGAAATTTATAAAAAAGAAAAGAGTTCCATCATCATTCAGCCAATCAGCTCGCAGCCCAAAGCGTCAAAAATGTACAATGAGATGAAGACAGCATGTTTTGGTCGGAATTCTGTAGGGATAAGAAAAATCCAAATCCGCTTCATTTATAGTCAACAATGTACATAATAAATAACAGGCAAGAACATGTATCATTTAAGAAAAGAATTAGATATACCAGCTTTAAGCAAGGTTGAGTAACTTTTAAACAGGAGTGGTTCCTACAAGGTAGAGGTCAGAAAAGTTGTTTGTTGGTCCACTTAGATCCTTTAACAGCAGTCGTGCAATATGAAGGGACAGAATTCAAAGATAATTGATGTATCTTTATCTGAAATATAAAAAATCAAAGTCAAAAGTCATGTTATAATATTGTGGGATAAAATCACAAAGTTTTTGCCTGTAGCTCTTGTTTCATTAAAAAAACTTGCAGTAACTTACGGCCCACAAAACAATAAAATCTAAATCCATATGGGAAATATCCATATGGGAATTTGCTCAAAGGGACGAAATCAATGGAATAACCTTTTCCAGAATGTTAGCCTTCTTAAACTAATACAATATTACATCCTAATCTGAATCTGAATATTTAAAACGCTGCAACAGCAAGAAAACATTTGTCACTTCAAGCTACACATTCCCAAGTCGACAGCCCCCATCCTCACACTGAAGCATTGACAGCTACGTCCACGCACACATAATTAAAGAACTGGGTGGTTTGTTATTATTATTATTATTAACGTGAACTATCTCATAAAACTTGAATCCGCTCATATTCCACAACGGGATTCTGTCCCAGAGCAGGGAAAAGTAAACTCCTATAACACGGTTAACAGATACACATTTTATTATTAAGCCCAGTATGATATTTGTTTTGTGATTGTTGACATGTTGTATCCGTACACAGGTGAAACTGGACTTAGAATATCGTTCAAAAGTCCATTCACTTCTTTACAATGTGAGACTAAAGTCATTCAAAGTGAGTTATATCAATCATTTATTTGTTATACTGTTTATAATCGGCTCCCAGCTTACAAAATCACAAATAAAACATGTTTCAACGATATACTTCCGTCTTCCTCAGAAGCGTCCAATGAAGGAAGGCGGCTTCTAAGGATTTTTGATTTCACAATTAAAGATGAATTACAGAAATAAATGAACTTTTTTCAGTTTGTATGTTTACCGATTATGATTTGAGACGAGTTCAACTGGCTCAATTTTGACTTTTGGAGGCTGTCTGTGTTACGGTATAATCCCCCCAGCACCTAACCAGCATTAGTCCAAATTCCTCAATAATACGCAACATGATTTCATAGTGACTGGTGCCTTTGAGAGCTGTTTGCAGAACTGAGAGGGGTCAGCTGGGGGCACGGTCAGGCGCACAGACAGACACACCTCTGGAACAAGGAGGGCTTTGGCTGCCGCTCTCAGCCTCGCCTCATTAAGATCCATTTTTCCTTAATAATAAAGGGCACGGTGCTGCATGTTGTTTGCACAGCTGATTATGAACGACCCTATTTTCTCCATCCTGGGAGATTCGGAGGGAAAGAAAATCCCTTGTGAAATTCTGTGTTTGCATGCTCCAAATTGTTGCTCATGGCAAAGTTATTTTGCTCTGACAAAGAAATGGTGCACCTGCGTTATATGAAAAAATAAACAATAGTTGAACCCAAATGTGTTAGGCCAAAGCCAGCTCAGTATCCTATTTGGGCGGGTATCTTCTTGTCACTAAGAAACATCTGAACTATTACTCGCATGATAAAAATGCACACGCAAAATGTGGCACTTGATTTGTCTGTTAATAATGTTCATATGTCAATCTTAAAAAGCAGAACAATAAACAGCAGTGGTTCTGAAACTTTTCATATCACCACATAAACAACAGGACACAAAAAGGACTATTCTATTCCCAGTTGCTACTTTTTTTAGGAGTTCTTTATAAGGGTTGACCCCCAAAGAAGACACTTTGGAAGCAATGCAAAAAAACTGCACTGCAAAAAAACTAATGGATTATGTATCATAGTTAACAAACATTGCATTTACAACCAGAATGGGTCTATCAGCAGCAGTTACAGGGTTTCAGTAGACAGTGTGCACTAGCTCCAGTCACTAACTAGCTATGCCACATATGAAGTTACTATTTCATTACTTTTAATCTTAGTGGGACAAGGAATCTCACTGCCTCAAATCCATCCATCCATTTTCTTCCCCTTAATCCATTTCTGGGTCGGGGGGTGGCAGTCAGTCCACAGAGCACCAGCCCCTCACTGATCCTCCTGCAGGTGCTGAGTCCACAGGAGCTGAGATCTTTCAGTGGGGGCTTCAGGCAAAGTGTGGTTAAGTGTCTTTCCCAAGGACACAACAACAGCAGTCATCAGTGGGAGTCGTGAAGTAGGTGTTGAGGTGGGCTTGAACCCACGACCTTCAGGCTCAAAGGCCAATGCTCTACCAACTGAGCTACTGTCGCCCCAACAAATGCCACAAATGTGTGTTGTGATTTGAAAGTATTTTTTCAGGAATCAAATGAAATTATCTCAAAAACATTTTTTTTCCATTTAATTTGCTGTCAAACTGAAATGCTTGTTTAAAAATTGTCTATTTCAACAATAATATTGGGACAGAAACGTACTAAAAATAACTACTATGAGCAAATTATGTTAATAAAAAAAGCAATCTCAAACCTTACTGCACACAATCTCCCCTTTGCTTTTCTTAATGCTGTGACTTAAAGGTACATTGCATAACTTTTGTATGAGGTGTGTTTCTTGCTTGTTGCCATAGAGATGTTTTTTCTTTGCTCAAAATGTTGCTCTGTAGGATATAAACATTGTGAATGATGAGCAAAAGCCTAATTTCTCTCTTCTCTCTACCGACAGGACCTTTAACTTAGCAACACAAACTCTCTTACTTCTCTCAAATGTAGATATCAAAGTACAACATCACAATGTAGAATAAAACCAAAAGATTTAGGGAATGTTCGCATTTGTTCGTCAGGTTGACTTTAGTTTGACAAGTTCAGGCTCAATGGGAGCAAAGTGCTTTAATTGTGGATGTAAAACCACCAAACACTTGTCACTGAAGTCAGTTTACATATTTTAAAACGTATCGGTGAAGCATTTTGTAAGTGAGCATTATAGTGACATTATGTATAGTTTATGGTTGTTAATGTACTGTCATGTCATTAGTCACCTGTTGTTAGTCTAACATAACAAACATGTTTTTAACCACTCAAGTGAACCAGACCATCAAAGAGTGAACACGCCCCAATACAAACCAAGAAAAAAGCAGAAGTAGAAAAATCTGAACACCATGAAATGCAATCTTTTCTAACTAACCTGAGAGAAGTTGAGTCCATTCAGAGGGTGACACTGCTCCTCCACCTTCTCCACTGCTCCGGTCCTCTTCCTCATCCTCTCTGCCTCTTGGGCCAAATACAAGTCCAACACTGGGACCCCCCGAGTCTTTATATCAGCTTCGGTCAAAGAGTTCACCATCAGCATCACCCACACCGGGCGCTTCCTCTCCCAGTTCCCCGCAATGGCATTGAACAGGTAGTCCGCGTACAGCCCTTTGCCTCTCTGATCCGGAGTCATCCAAGACGGCATCATTAGTTTAACATACTCCAAGTGTCTCTTCAGGCGGCGGTAAATGTCTCTAGGTAGGACGTCCTGTAAGTTCTCGCCCTGAGGAAGCAGCTGACAACTGGTAAGAGCTGAAATGGTGTAAGGGTCAGTGAGGTCCAGTTCAAAGTAGACAATGCTGCTTTCTTGAAAGGCCTGCTTGGAGTTCTCGGGGATGTAGTCCCAAACGCGGGTATAGGGGACATGGATGGTCCCATAAAAGTAAGAAGGGGGGTCCCGTTTGATGGTCCAGAGGAAGGAGTTGAGTTCACTTTGCTGAGGATGAAGAAGAGATTGGGGGGTGTAAGAATCAGACAAAATCATTTATTTATTTATTTATTTTTTTTAAAGCTGGAGCCCACCAAAAAAAACACCAAAAAAAAACACTTGACACTTTGAGCTAAGGCTGCACGATATCGGAAATTAAAGCGATATTCAATATGAGTGTTTAGTATTGGGATAACGATATTGTTGCAATATTTTTGTCTTTTACCTAAAACAAAAAATAAGCACAACATGAATGACTTTTTCCTGTGTTTGTTGTTCTTGTTGAATGTTGATGTGTGTGATCTGTTTTGTTGTCTTTAATAAAGAAAAAAAAGAACAAACATATAGATTAGGGCTGAAACAACTAATCGATTAATCGACGACTAATCGATTATTGAAATAGTCGACAACTATTTTAGTAATCGATTAATCGTTTTCTGGTTCACACAGACTCAAACAGAGCAAAAATGACATGAAAATGTAGTATTTTTGATTAATTTTTAGATAATTTTTGATCTGTCTGTTTCATCCAATCAGAGCAGAATTAGCACAAAGAGCCTGTTACAAACATTTACTTTAAGTTTACGCCATCAATACGTCCTCGAGTGTTGCCACTTTAGCTTTTTGTGATGATTTTTTTTTTTCTACACAATTCACAGCCAAGCGATTACTCGATTAATCGTAAAAATAATCGATAGATGAATCGATTACAAAATAATCGTTAGTTGCAGCTTTAATATAGATATTATCATTGCACCAATATGGCGATAACAATATTTTTCCGATATATTGTGCAGCCCTATTTTGAGCTGAGAGCTGATTGGCTGAGTAAGGGGGGTCATATTTTTTCTGTCTGAAAAAGTTGATTTAAAGATGTGACAGTGGCCAAAAATACATGCATGTGAAAACTAGTGAAAGAACCCTATTTGTGTGGTTTTAACTTTAATACGTATTCCTCACACAATCATAATAGTAATCATAGTTGCACTGGCACCATGACATGAGCAAACATAGTGTTGTTGTGGTCTTGTTCAGTCAACAAATAAATACATCTGGACTTCTACACTCCAATACGATAAGCCTATTTGAGATATTGCATGATAGATAAGCAGTCTTCAGCTTATTGAAACAAAATCCTTAAAAGTTAGCAAAGGCCTACTAAAAATGTCAAACCAGTCCACAATGCCTTCATAGTTCTCTGGTCTTGATTCATGTCAGCCACTGCAGGATCTCAGCCACACTCTGACTCCAAGCAGCTCAGGCTGTTTATTAGACCGACTGTTAACACACTCATAATGACTTATTAACAGGCCACTTAGGACCTCAGTGCAAAACAAACAACTGCTTCCTGTCTTAATAATTTACTATACACACTTTATGAGAGTTACCCAAAAGTTCAAGAGTCTATCATTAAGTTTGTGCTTTACGAATCATCCAGTCGATTCATATTATTGGATGGCAGTATAGGAAGCAATTGAATGAGACTTTGAATATTAACAATCTGATATATAGAGGAGAATATGGCCCAGGATTTGTGCGTAAAAGCAAATAAGTGGAACTATGCCATCATTTCTCAATCTCTACTTAATGGGATCATTTGGAAGAACAGGTATCTCCGTTCTGAAAATGTATCGAAAAGTTATAATCCACTTGCTGCAATCTTCAACCATGCAGTGTTGTTATGGGCAGTACATTTCAAAGGAATTGCTCAAACAAGCATGAAACGTTATTTGTATGGCACTATAATAAAAACTTGGTAAATGGCAAAATGTTTTCAGATATGTTTGCATGGGCACTTTTTGAGAATAAACTATTAAAGTGGTCAATAGTTCACAAAGGGGACTTACTTTCTTGTTGAGTTCGCAGTTGCCCGAGTCCTTAAGCCACTGCTCAGCCCGGACCAGCAGCATGAGACAAGAGTGGAGGAGCGCAGCCACCGATCCGCGCATGGTAAAAACTCTCGCTGGAACAACGTGGGCCAAACCAAACTCACTCTGCTTCTGTTGATGCTCGTGTTTAGCTCCTATTCCCTCAAGCCCAGCTCCAGACGGCTGCACAAGACAAGCGGACAGACAGACCGACGCAGTATGGTCATGTTTCTGTCCGCGGGTTCACGTGTGTCCCACCACCACATCGGAGCGTAATATGTCTTTTTTTTTTTCACAAACTCAAAGCGAAGAAACCTTCTGAGACGCTCCCACAGGTCCACGCTGCGTCGCTCTATACCTGCTGCTGCCGAGCGCTGTTTATGTTACGTTTGCGCGTAAAGGAAAGCGTGCGTAAAAACTAACAAAACCAAAAAGTGAATGAGTGTAGTGAGCAGCAGAGTTGTAGTTTCCACGGACTGGTCTTCCTGCAGCTCTCTTCCTCGCCTCTCACCCTCCAGCGTGTGTGTGTGTGAGCATCTTTGTCAGCCATGCAACCCCACCGTAGGCTCCAGACCCCCCGGCGCGCCCTCCCCCTCCCTCCCCCTCTCTCCACTACCTCCCAACACACGCGCGAACAGCAGTAATCTGATTAAACATCACCGCTCTTTCTTTAGCACGAAAACAAACTTTAAATTGAGTTGTCTACTGCGTGCAAATTGTTTGAAAGAAAAAACGACAATTTTTTCCTTCCCCAAAGTTAATTAAGACATGGCTTAGCATCAGGGCCGGTATGACAATGGATCCACGATTAGGACTCCCAGAGCAGTCATTTTCACGGCTCCTATTCAAATTAAATGAATTCTGGAAAAAATCTCCCCCAAAAAGTAATAGTTTTTTTGTGTCTCTGATTGCATTGAATTAAAGTCATTAATGGGGGTTTTATCCTTAATGCATGCTAAAACTGGTTAATATACATGAAATATAGCAACACTGAACTCTAACTGAAGCTAGTAAAGAGTGTGTTGCTATGGTGACTAGGACTTGCGCTTGGATTGCTTTGAACCAGGCTCTAGATAATGTCATCAACATAAGAAAATAAATGACATATAGATACAGAAAAAGTCAGTACCATTCCAAAATGAAAAGCCGTCATATTGACTGCTCAAGTGTAGGAAACAAGGAAAACGAATGCATTTGTGATTTCTGATTTATCTTGAGGCTAATTATATGATTAGATAATTATTTCACCAGACAAGTCTCACTAGGATTTCAGAATCCTGTTGTGCCTGTGCACTGCCGGAGCCGGGTTCTTTGAGATCCCAGAAGAAGATTGTCGTGACCCAGCAGTTAATGGCAACAAACTGCATACATTACCATAAGAAAGAGCGCAATAACAGCTCTTTAGCAAAAACAAGAGTGACGGCAGACACACGGGCGAAAAACTCCACGCCTTTATCAGCTGGCATCATCTTCCTTCATAGATTTCAACTTAGAGACTCGGTGAGCGCTTGCAGCCAAATTCACGCGTGCATATGTGCGTAATAACTCTACTGGTTATTGGATGAACAATTTACCCCCAAAGCGTCGCGGTTCAGTCCACGGGAGCAGGGTGGTGTCTCAATGAAAGGCTCTTGTTTGTGAAAGGGGCTATAGAAATGGTTCTTGTAACTTGTGTGTGAAAACGCCTCATAAGCCCCACATGTGAGGCACAATATGGCCCCCAGGCTGCATCAGAATTAGCTGTTTGCAAACAAATAAAGGTTTCACATTGCAGACCAAAGAGATTATGAACCTGTCACATTGATAAGTTTCCCTGATCCATGTCGTGGACCGTCTGTTTGACACTGAATGGTGGAGTGGATGGAAGAAAACCAGTGTGTGCGCTCCCATGTGAGTCTATGCTAGCGCCCTCTTGTGGACACAGACAGACACCACGTTGATTTTGTGTGTATTTATGTATTTTAGATCTACTTAGTTTTCACTGTACACAGGTGTAACAATGTTAGTCTCTGTTAAGTATAGGTTACACCATTAACATTTTACATTTTGAAAAGTATCTCAAAGTATACTCCAACGTGATTGATATTGGATTTCAGAGGCCGCTTACGTGTTTGACGTGCACTGGGGGGTGTGGAGCCAGCTGTTTGAGGAAGTCTTTGAAAATCACTCAAGGCTCTGAGTCCAAGCGAAGTTACATTCATGGGAAGTTCAGATATTTGATATTTCTCTTCTAGATTAGAATGCCCTTTGGATCATCAGAACATGAAGGCTTCTGAGGCCACTATAGTGCAGAACTGAAACGAGTGCACTTCCACCATTTGGCCACTGCACCTAACTGAGGCCTGCGATGTGCTTGTGTATCATATCATCAGATAAATTATATAAAATTCAACTGAACAAAACTCAATTTCTTGTTTTAAATGTTGTTGATTGATATCGTAACATTAACAATACAAATAACAGACATTGACTCAACTACTTGCCCTTTGCACCTGAATGAGAATATGAAACCACTGCAACTTTAATATAAGTAAATAAATATAACACTAAACGACAGCGGATGATGCAAAACAATGCTGAGCGACAACTGTTTTGACCGGACAAAACATGATTTATTGACGAGAGTTTTAATCCACCGTTGACTTGTGATGGAAAAAGCTTTGTAAATAAAACAATAAAATCTGAGGATGCAAACATTCATTCAGGTAAACACGCTAACTGTTAACTGTTAGCTTCAGTGACTCATTCTCCAGTCTATTTTGACAATAAACAAGCATCCTCTATAGCTACTAAAACTTGACTCAAAATAATGAATCTGTAAACTCTGACAACACCCCAACTGTAACACAATTAAAATACATACATATGGCCACAAATAAACACTGGGTTCAATGATACTGAAAAAAAATAGTGGCTTCCTTCTTTGATACACGGATGCACTTTTGTATTTCTTTCATTTCTTTGTTTTTCTTTGGGTTAAAATCCTCATTTAAAGGGGTAAGTTCTATGATTTAACATCAGGTGTGGAGGAATTAACTAGAAAAGTGCTGTTTTAGACTTGTCGTATGGTTGATATTTAGCTCTGGTGCATGATGGCCGTCAGAAGTAGTGGTGGAAAGCAAACTGTGTCACGAACATTCAGTGTGAATCGTTGGACATTGGGTACATTTATGGACACTTTATTATGCGGTTGTGATTTTGAATTAATTATTTGAATGCTAACTGATGCATACTTCATCCATATACCATTGTATGTGTGAAGAAAAAATGACAAAAGATGCAGAGGTCTGGGATCCTGTCACAGGAAAAGACATTTTATTATTGGTAAAAAGAGATACGATCAGAGTTTTGCAGCAAGTATGTGGATTTTTAACCAGACAAATCAAGAACCCATCTCTCAGCGTTTGTCACAGCACAAATAGTTATGCTAACTTCAACCTCCCCCAAACATTATTGAGAAATCACTGACTTCTGTTTACTGAAGTGGTGACAAGGTCAGCTTTAACCAGAATTTGGTCAAAAGTGTCATTAAAGATCCACATATTTAGAGTGAGAGAGAAAACACAGATGAAACGTAGATAGGCAAAGAGAGAGAACATGCAAACTCTGCTCCAAAAGAACCCCGGACCTTCTTGTTGAGGGGCAAATAAATGTGCACTTTATTGTCCCCGTAGGGAAATTTGTCCTCTGCATCTGACCCATCCTGATGCCACAAAGACTTACGTCAGGAGCAGAGGTCGCTGTGGTACAGCGCCCGGGAACCCATCTCCAGATGTTGATGATCGGCTTGGTCAGGACCGGAGCTGGAGGATTTTACCTAGTGAGCATAGTTTTAGTGGTAGGGGCAACCAGAGCACCCAGAGGAGACCTACGCAGACACAGGAAGAACATGCAAACTCCACTCAGAAAGGCCCTGTTCCAACTGGGATTTGAACCCAGAACCTTCTTGTTGAGAGGCAAGAGTGCTATCCACTTAGCCACCGTGCCGCCCACTAACCACTGTGCCACTGTGCCACTGTGTTGCACTTTGAAGGTCCAGACTAGTTGTGTTCACTTAAAAAAGCCTCTTGCAGCTGCTTCCTCTTGCATTCTGAAAAGCTTTAGAAGCATGTTATTTGTGAATGTGTTTGAGGCTCTCTCTCCTGCACACATGTCCTTTATTGTCTTCACTTAGAAAAAGCAGTTTCACACGAGCGCATATACCCCATATTCTTCTAGTCTTCTGTAATTTGCATGAAACCATGAATAAATTAGGGTTGTCAGCGACATACAAACGCAATTCAGGACATGGCATTCTTTTTGTATGTCGGCCTTCTGAAACCTCTGTCTGTTTTATCTCATTACTTTGTTGTTTTTATCATTACATCAAACCCGATCCTGTTTTTGAAGTCTCTGGTGGACTTCTCTGACCTGTGTCAATGTTGGTCCCACCCTACATCTGTACATTTCCACTTGAAAGTGTCCGTTTATGTGGATCAAACACAAGTGAGGACTTCTGAGGCTCCAGAGTAAACAGTGAGGCGGCTGCATCAAAAGACCCTCACAATATGGACTTGATTACATATGTCTCAATTTTATACGGCTTCTGAAGTGGAGGATGCATTTGATCCTCAGGTGTCAGAGCCTGTTTTTCTTTTATACTCTTCGGACAAAAATATAGTTTCATGTCTGCTGCTTTTAGTTGACCACATGATAGAAGTTTCCCATAAGAGGAGTGTCTTATGAAGTTCTTCAATGTCACTGACTGAAAAGGCTTCCAGGAAGTGTGAGTTTACATGACTCAGTTTACTGAGGCGGCACGGTGGCATGAAGACAAAGGAACACACCAGGCAGGTCCGAGATACTGTTGTGGAGAAGTTTAAAGCCGGATTTGGATACAAAAAGATTTCCCAAGCTTTAAACATCTCAAGGAGCACTGTGCAAGCAATTATATTGAAATGGAAGGAGTATCAGACCACTGCAAATCTACCAAGACCCGGCCGTCCCTCCAAACTTTCATCTCAAACAAGGAGAAGATTGATCAGAGATGCAGCCAAGAGGCCCATGATCACTCTGGATGAACTGCAGATAACTACAGCTGAGGCAGGGATGGTGTGTTCAGGGTGATGAGCTGTGTTGCTTTTACGCCAAACATATCGTTTTACATTGTGGCCAAAAAGTTTGATTTTGGTTTCATCTGACCAGAGCACCTTCTTCCACATGTTTGGTGTGTCTCCCAGGTGGCTTGTGGCAAACTTTAAGAGACTTTTTATGGATATCTTTGAGAAATGGCCACTCTTCCATAAAGGCCAGATTTGTGCAGTGCACGACTGAGTGGATAGCACTCTCGCCTCTCAGCAAGAAGGTCCTGGGTTCGAATCCCGGTCGGACCAGGGCCTTTCTGAGTGGAGTTTGCATGTTCTCCCCGTGTCTGCGTAGGTTTCCTCCGGGTACTCCGGTTTCCCCTACCACTAAAAATATGTCCAATAGTTCTAGCATGCGCCTCCTGTACTGGCGACCCCGCTCCCATCTCTGTGTGGAGTGAGAGACAATTAAAAATAACAATTGTAAACCGCTTTGAGACTCAGATCTGCAGTGAAAAGGCGGTATATAAATAAAGATTACTTACTACTTACTTACTTCTGGTCAGTCGTATTCCGTTGATTACAATCTGCAAGTTATTATTTAGAAACACCAATACGCAAGACGCCTCAGTGTTCGCTAAAACCTTGTATCTCTAAAGTTGTCCTTACTCTTCAGACCCGTCATTACCCCAGCGCAGAGTTAAAACGCTCCAAACATTAGGTCAGGATGTGGGTGTGTATTTATGTGTAATTTATTGAGCTTTTCAGCATGTAACTTGCAACTCTCTGTGGTTTTTAATTGCCCCTTGGGGATAAAGAAAGTGATTGATTGATTGATATTGTTAGGCCTGTGTCTTAATGGAGTGTGTGCGTGTGTGTGATGTTTTGTGTTGTCTTATAAAAGTGTTTATATATGAATGTAAATATATTGTATTACTGTATGTATTGTATCGTATTACTGTACACTATTATGTGAATTGACAATTGCCCTGTATGGTATTTGTTTGATATTGTCTTGGGTAGGTGGGAGCTGATTGTGTATAAGCGTTTTGACCCAGCCGACCCCTTTTTCAAACCTTATACTGTGTGTCTGTGTTTGGTAAAGGTAAAGGAAATCCCCGTAGGGCAATTCCTCCTCTGCATTTGACCCATCCTGATGCCACAAAGGCTTATGTCAGGAGCAGTGGTCGCCGTAGTAACAGCGCCCGGGAATCTCCAGATGTTGATGCTCGGCTTGGTCAGGACTACCAATACCAATGTTTATAAGGTAAAGAATTATGTGCATTTTCAGAAAAAAAGTACTG